TGCAAGGGTGGGGTGGCCACAGGTTCAGGGTGACCATAAGGACAAGGGGGGGGACACACACTAAGGACGGGGGGGTCAGTTGGGACGGGGTGGCCTTGGGGACAGAGGGAACCACCAAAACGGGGTAAAAAACCCCAGGATTGAGCTTGTCCCTTTTGTCACAGGGACCCATCGTCACCTCGCCGTCACGTCACCCAGCAGGTACCGCCATCCTGGGTGGGAGGGGGGTGACACACACCAAACCCCAAAACCACCCCCCAAAATGGGATTGTTTTTCCCAATTTGAGCCTTTTTTTGCCCCATTTCGCTTTTGCGTTTGCCGCTGGTGAGCTGCAACACCCACACGCCTTTTTTGAAGCCCAAAAAGGGGGAAATTGGGGTTTAAGGAGAAAATCCAGCATCTGAATCTGCTCTGGGTGTGGGAAGTGGCTAAACCTGTGCGTATTTTGGGGGAAATTAGGCTGGGTTTGGTATCATCCGCCTCTTCCCTTTGGGTCATTACGCCCACGCCAAGAATTGCGGCAGACTGACGCCAGGGCGCTGCCGCCGCCACCACCTTCGTTAGGGAGTAATTATGCAAACGAGCTGGGTTTGGGCTGGGTTCTGTGCCCGGGTTGAGCTGGAGAAGTGGTACTGGGTTCAATTAAACGGTTCAATTAAACTGGATCCAATTCACTGGGTTCAATTCATTGGGTTCAATTAAACTGGGTTCAGTTCATCAGGTTTAGTTAAACCAGGCTTGATTAAATGGGGTTCAGTGAATCAGGTTCGATTAAACCGGGTTCAGTTAAACCGGGTTCAGTTAAACCAGGTTCATTTAAACTGGGTTCAGTTAAACTGGGTTTACTGGGTTCAATTAAACTGCGTTCAGTCAAACCAGGTTCAATTAAACTTGGTTTCATTAAACTGGGTTCAGTTGAGCAAGTTCAGTTCATTAGGTTCAATTAAACTGGGTTCAGTTCACCAGGTTTGATTAAACTGGGCTCAGTGAAACCAAGTTCAGTTCACTGGGCTCAATTAAACCGGGCTCAGTTAAACTGGGTTCAATTAAACCAGGTTCAGTTAATCCGGGTTCAATTCACCAGGGTCTGGGGACGGTGGCACCATGCCGCAGTGGTTTTGGCACATCCCCGGTCGGTGCAACTCCATCTCATGGGTTTGGTTTTTTGGTTTTTTGCCTCCATCCTGGCAACATTTTCCAGCTCCTGGCACACCGGCATCCCCATGGATCTCCTCGCCGGCATCGGCTACGCCTGTGCCGGGCTCCTGGCGGTGCTGGCGACGGTGCTGTTGGGAATGGCGTATCGCTTGGGGCTCCTCTACCAGCTCTGGCATAAGGTAGGACGAAATGGGTGAGAACACTGTGGTTTTGCCAAAAAACGCCTATTTTTTAAGCGATCCCAGCCGGCGGCTCGGCAAAGGGATGGCGACACCGCGTACATCCTCCCGGTGATCTCCTCACCGTGCAGGTAGACCCCCGAAGCCCCCGGCATGGTGGTGAGTTGGTGGCGGAGGTGCTGAAGGCACACGGCGTCCGTTTCCTCTTCGCCTTGGCTGGTGGCCACATCTCACCCATCTTGGTGGCCAGCGAGAAGGTGGGCATCCGTGTGGTGGACACCCGGCATGAGGCCACCGCCGTCTTCGCCGCCGATGCTGTCTCCAGGCTCTCTGGTGCGGATATGGACAGGGATCCCATGGCCAGCACCTTCTCCTTCTCCAACAGATGGAGGATTTTGGGGTGTCCCAGCTTGGTGGGCTTCTGGTTGAGCGGAGAAGGGTTCAAAGACTTTGTGGGTGTCCAGGGTTGCTCCATGGTGGGTTTTGTCCCCATTCTTCCCCCCCCGGAGCTAATTCAGCTGCTTGCGTGCCAACGAGATGAGCAACCAAACATGCCTGGAATCCCCGGCCAAAAATCGGGGTGCAGAGGGACCCACTTCCACCCCCCCCCATTTCCCCGCAGGTCGCATCGGTGTCGCCGCTGTCACCGCTGGTCCCGGCGTCACCAACGCGGTGACAGCCATCAAGAACGCCCAGATGGCCGAGTCACCGTTGCTGCTCATCGGGGGAGCAGCCGCCTCGCTGCAGAAGGTGGGGGGGACCAAAGAAATTCCCTCTTGGACCCCTTTTTTGGGGGGGTTCCCCCGTTTTTGGGGGTTCAAGGCTCATTTTTCTCGCAGGGTCGGGGAGCGCTGCAGGACATCGACCAGCTCTCGCTCTTCAAGACGCTCTGCAAAGTGTGCGTCTCGGTGCATGCCGTCCGTGACATCGTCCCCACCCTCCGCAAAGCCATCGCCACCGCGCAGTCGGGGACCCCCGGTAAAAAATTAGGGGGGTTGCCCCCAAAACACCCCCAGAACGCTTGGGCGATGGGTTTCTTTCCCCGCCACGGGTCACCCGGGGTGGTTTACAGTGGTGTTTTGGGGTGGTGGTTTTTTTGGGGTGCCACTGTTTGAACTGGGAGGTGGGGTTAACCCCCAAAAGCGGTTTTGGGGTGACATTGGGGGCACCGTCTGCACCCCAATTTTTTAGGACCTGTCTTCGTGGAGCTCCCCATCGACGTGCTCTACCCCTTCCACGTGGTCGAGAAGGAGATCAGTGGCACCAAGAATGCCCGGGGGCTGCAGGGAAAAGTGGTGCAGTGGTGAGTTGCAGCCCTGCCCCCCCCAGCACCCGAGGGTGCTGCTGGCACCCCGAGGGGTCCCAGCACCCCAATATCCACCCCCCCCGGTAGGTACCTCCAAAACTACATCCGTAACCTCTTCGCGGGTGCCTGGGAGCCCCGGGACGTGTCCCCGTTGCCCGTGCAGGTGCCGCTGGCCACCGAGGATGAGGTGGGTTTTGGGGGGGATTGGGATGGGTTTGGGGGCTGGTTGGGGCAGGTTTGGGGTAAGGCAGAGCTGGGGTCTGGGGTGAAAACAGCTGGTTTTGGGGTTCAGCTGAGCCGGTTTTGGGGCTAAACTGGGCTGATTTTAGGGCTTAGTTGAGCCAGTTTTGGGGGATCAGCTGAGCTGTTTTTTGGGGCTGACTGAGCCAGTTTTGGGGCTCAGCTGAACTGGTTTTTGGGACTGACTTGAGCCAATTTTGGGGCTCAGCAGAGCTGATTTTGGGATCAGCTGAGCCAGTTTTGGGGTTTAGCTGAGCTGGTTTCAGGGCCCAACTGAACTGGTTTTGGGGCTCAGATAAGCCAGTTTTGGGGTCCGATAGGGCTGGATTTTGGGGCCAACCTTGCCAGGTTTGGTGCCCAACTGAGCCAGTTTTGGTGCTTACTGAGCTGGTTTTTTGGTGCCCAAATAGGGCTGGTTTTGGGGCTGACTGAGCTGGTTTTTGGCACCTGACCGAAGCGGTTTTTTGGGGCTAATCGAGGTGGTTTTGGGTCGCACACAGGTGCAGCGATGTGCCGAGCTGGTGAGCCGGGCCACGAAGCCGCTGGTGCTGGTGGGTAGCCAGGCCATGCTGCCGCCCACGCCGGCCGAGGAGCTGCGGTGAGATGTTTTGGGGAGAGATGAACTGGTTTGGGGATGGATGAAACGGTCTGGGGATGGTGGAGCCAATTTGGGGGCTGCTGGGCTGGTTTGGGGATGGACGAACCTGTTTGGGGACAGTTGAGCTGGGTTTGGGGACCGAGCGGCCAATCTGGAGGCTGGTGAAATCATTTGGGGATAGCTGAACCACTTTGGGGGATGGATGAACTGGTTTGGGGGATGGATGAACTGGTTTGGGGACAGTTGAGCCGGGTTTGAGAATGGTTCAGCCAATTTGGGGTCTGGTGAGATGATTTGGGGACAGATGGCTGAGCAGGTTTGGGGACGGTTCAGCCAATTTGGGGGCAGATGAGCCCGTGTGGGGACAGATGAGTGAGTCTGGGGTCAGATGAGCTGCTTTAGGGATCAACCAGCCAGTGTGGGCACAGATGAGCCAGATTTGGGTCTGACTGAAGGAGTTCTTGTGCTCAGCTGAGCCAAGCTTTGGTGCCAAACCAAGCTGGTCTTGGGCTAAACTGAGCCAGTTTTGGGGCTCTGACAGAGGTGGTTTTGGAGCCAAACCAAGGCAGTATGGGTCTCCAACGAAGCTAGTTTGGGAACCTAACCGAGCTGGTTTTGGGGCCAAACCGAGTCATTTTGGAGCCCGACCAAGCCGGTTTTGGTGCGTGCTGATGCCCACCTACCTGCAGCGCGGCGCTGGAGGCCCTGGGCATCCCCTGCTACCTTGGGGGAGCGGCGCGGGGGCTTCTCCCCCCCGGCAGCCCCCTCCTCCTGCGCCAGAACCGCCGCGACGCCCTCCGCGATGCCGACCTGGTGCTGCTGGCAGGTACTGGGATGGGACACGCACGCGACACCCGCTGCGTCCCCGTCCCCATCCTGACACCCTGCGTGTGTCCCCAAGGCGCCGTCTGTGATTTTCGCCTCTCCTACGGGCGCCTTTTCAGTCGCCGCGCCATCATCGTGGCCGTTAACCGGGACCGGGCGCAGCTCCTCCGTAATTCCGATGTCTTCTGGAAACCCCGGCTCGCCGTGCAAGGTGAGACCCTTAACACCAGCCCTGGCTCCCCAACCCCTGCCTGAAATGGGCGGCGTGGGGTGCAATGAGTTGGGCGTTCTCGGCAGGAGACGCAGCCTCCTTCGTGGTGCGGTTGGCGCGGAGCCTGCGGGGCTACGCCTGCCCCGGTGAGTGGCTGGAGGGGCTGCGTGAAGCTGATCGGAAAAAGGAGCAGGCTAACCGGTGAGTGCACACGGGACGGGGATGGGCACAGGCCTGGGGATGAGGATGAGGACAGGGATGGGCACAGGCGTGGGGACAGGGGTAGGGACGGGCTCAGGGACAGGCACAGAGATGGGGACAGGCATGGGGACAGCGGTAGGCATGGGGATGGGGACGAGCACAGATGGAGACAGGGATGGGGACAGGCAGGAGGATGGGAATGGGGACAGGGAGAGGCTCGGGTCTGGGATGGGGACAGGGATAGGGATGAGCATGGGGACAAGCATGGGGACACAGGGATGAGGACAGGGATGGGCACAAGAACAGGGATGGGCACAAGAACAGGGATGGTGTTGGATAGGGATGAGCATGGGGACAGGGACGGGCACAAGAATAAGGATGGCGTCAGGGCTGGGGACAGGGACTGGGCTGGGGACAGGGAGGGGTATGGATTGGTGGCCTGTTTGGGTGGGGGGATCCCAGCCCCTTTCTGGGGGGTCCCCATTTCCAGTTTTGGGGGATCCCAACCCATTTCCAACTGGGATGGGGGAGCCCCCATCCCCATTCTTTGGAGGATCCCACCCACCTCTTCCTTGCCCGGGGCTGTGTGTGGGGGGTGTCTCCCCCCAACAGGGAGAAGGCAGCGACCCCCACCCCGCAACACCTGAACCCCCTGGACCTGCTGCCCCGCCTGGATGCGCTGCTGCCCCCCGAGAGCCTCCTCGTAGCCGATGGGGGGGACTTTGTGGGTACCGCTGCCTACATCGTCCGTCCCCGACGTCCCCTCGCCTGGCTGGACCCCGGTAAGAAACTCCCCACCACCACCAGCCCCAGGCACGCTGTCACCGTAGCGGGGACACACACGGGCGACACCGCCGGCTGTCATCTCCGCAGGAGCTTTCGGCACGTTGGGAGTCGGCGGAGGGTTTGCGCTCGGCGCCAAGCTCTGCTGTCCCGACGCGGAGGTACGGGGCTGCGGTGGCCCACGGGGACGGCGATCACCGCGCCACCTACTATGTGGCCTCATGGTGTTTGTCCCCTCCCCGGCGCCAGGTTTGGGTCCTCTACGGTGACGGCTCGCTGGGCTACAGCTTGATGGAGTTTGACACCTTTGTGCGGCACAAGGTCAGATGGTGCCAAAAATGGGGTGAGGTTGGGGGGAAATGAGGTCTTGTCACCGTCCCGGGGTGTCATCGGGGCGCGGTGGCCCTGTGCTTTGTCCCCTACAGACGCCTGTCATCGCGCTGGTGGGCAATGACGCGTGCTGGAGCCAGATTTCCCGGGAGCAAGTGGCTTTGCTGGGAAGCAACGTGGCGTGTGGCCTCGAGTACCTGGGTGAGTACTGTCCCCCCCCTGCTTTGTCCCCAGATTTGGGGGACACCTGGGTTGACCCCATGTCATCTTAGGGTAGACTGAGCCATGCCTGGTGTCACCACGTCACCCTGGGGAGGATCAAGCCATGCCTGGTGGCATCATGTCACCCTGGGGTGGATGGAGCCATGCCTGGTGGCATCATGTCACCTTGGATCGAGCCATGCCCGGTGGCACCGTGTCACCCTGGGGTAGATTGAGCTGTGCTGGGGGTCACCACATCACTCTGGGGAGGACCAGGCCATGCCTAGTGGCATCACATAGCTTTGGGGACCGTCACCTCCAGGGACAATTGGACTGTGCCTGGTGGACCTGTGTCACCCTTGGGAAGATCTGGCCATGCCTGGTGGCCCCATGTCACCCCAGATCTGGCCATGCCTGGTGGCACCGTGTCACCCTGGGTCAAACCATGCCCGGTGGCCCTGTATCACCCCAATTATCAAGCCAGTCCCATGGAGGTGACAAGGCCACCACCGCTGTCCCCTCCCTACAGACTACCATGCGGTGGCCGAAGCTCTGGGTGGCAAAGGCTTCGTGGTGGGTCGCCAGGACCGTGAGCGGCTGGACACCGTCCTCCGTGCTGCGCAGGATGCGTGTCGCCAAGGCCACCCCGTCCTCATCAACGCCCTCATCGGCAAGACCAACTTCCGTGACGGTTCCATCTCCGTCTAGGGACAGTGTCCCCAAAATGTCCTGGCCGTGTCCCCGGCGGGGCAGGAGGAACCAAGGAAAGGGGTGGGTTTGGGTGACACCGGTGCCGCACACCCAACCCAGGGGACAGCTGCATGTCCCCCCCACTTGGCAATAAAGCAGCACCGTCTGCCCCCACCCACCGTCCTGCGCCATCAATTTGGACTGCCGACACCCTAGGGACACCCTAAGTGACACTTTGGGGACTGTCACCCCTCCCACCCCCCGTCGAGACGGTAACACACGCAGAAGGCCTGGCAGCGAGTGCAGCTTGTGTCATTTATTGCTGGTGAGGGTGACAAGGCAGTGGCAGGGCAAGGGGGGGGGGTCAGGCCACCCCGGGGGGGGGGGGGGGGGGGGTCAGGGGACAGCTTTGTCACCCCCTACCCCCCCCGCTCAGGCCTGCCTGCACCCCTTGCCCGGGCGCTTTAACACTAGTGGCTCAGCCCGGCCGGGCCGGTGGTTTCACATTCAGCTGGTTCCTTTAAGGCTAATACTGAGTGAGGCTGGTTTTGGGGAGGGGGGTGGTGTGTATTTTGGGGACACCCCCCCCACCCGTTGTAACACTGGCAGTGGGTTTATTTGGGGCGTAAAAAGGGGTTTTTGTTTGGTTTTTTTTTTGTTGCAGGCTGCGGTGACGGCGTCTGCCGTCCATCCACGCGTACACACGCACACAAAGCTCGAGTAATAAATAAAGCTCAGCGCTCCCGTACCGGCAGCCCCCACCTTGGGGCGGG